CAAACTTCACATCTTTGTATGTTTTTTGTCTTTTTTTTTATTCTTTTGCCTTGTTCTCTTACATTTGGGTATTTTTACCTACAAAAGCAATAATTACATAATTGTGAATAGAAATTCGCTCATTTTAATCAATAATAAGTATATTTAAGTATTAAATGAGTGTGCAAAAACACACTTATCAATGCCTCTCGGGCAGGCGAGACATCATCTCCTAGGCAACCCAAGAAGCCCAGTAGCTAGCGGAGTCGTCGTACTCAAGCGTCTTGTCAAAGTTCGCCTTATAGTCCTTGACTACCGTGTCCCCAGCTGTCTTCACTTCGGCCCCCAGTGACTCAATCTCTCCTGCTTGAGCCTCAGATAGCACCCTCAGTTCGACTTTTTGTTTGTTAGCCTCCACCAGAGCTTCCGAAGCAATTTTTTGATGGTCATTGGCCTGATAGACCCTTTTGGTCAGAGCCGCCCCTTGTGAGGTGGACTCATGGAGCTCGTTCTTTAGCCGATTGGCTCGGAGCTTGGACTCATCTAACTGTAAGGAAGTCGCTATCCATTTTTCCTCCACCTCCTCGACTTCCTTATTGGCCTTCTCCACTTTGGCTTCCAATTCGAAGAGGCCTCCAACCTCTTTTCCAAATCCTCATTTTTCTTACGGAGGCCTCTGACCAAATCCTCCACCGCGACGCCCATACTTAGTGCCCTGGCCACACAGGTGTTGTTAGCAGCCAGCAAGTCCTCGATTTCGGACGAGGCTGCATGATTAGCCCAATCTTCAGTCTAATACTTGCTGTGGACTCTGGGGGGCGAGGCGGTCTCTGGGAGAAGCATCTCCAGCACGGCTTCAGAAAGATCATTATCCTTGCTCCCCAGGAAGTCCGTGACTTTGCCCTTAGCCGGAGCACTAGCAGGTCGCTTATGCCTTTTCTTGGTCTCCCCCTCGACGAAATACGCAATTATGGGCACAATGGCCGAGGAACAATAGAGGGGGCTGCCATTGTCACCCCAACATCGGATGAAAGAGGAGGGATTAAAGGAATAGACGCCCATGCTGGGCCAGCTTTTCTTCTTTTTATGAGTGGAGCTCCCTCCTCCGCCTCGTCTTCCTCAGCCTGCTGCTAAGCCTTGCTAAGGGTGCAGACGCTTAGACTACTTCTTGTAAGCAGTCGAGCTTGCCTTCAATAGTTTCGCCTCCGCAACTGATTTACAGATCGAGGCGAAGTCAGGCCTCAACACCTTCTTCTTCGCAAAGTCTCCTGTAAACAAGGTAAACAGATTAAGTATTTTCGGATAAGCAAGGACATAAGCAGAGGTAAAGCGAGATCATTACCTTGATTCGACATTAATTCGTGGAGAACGAAGTGGGTGTTTTTGTCAATAATTTCTTTATAGATCCTCTTCGTTGGAGGCGTCCGATAGATCTCGCTTATTATATCCCACTCCTCCTCGGATATTTCACACGTCGGAAGAGAGCCTATAAACAAGATATATTAAAACAATAAGCAAAGATGTACAAGTGAAATCAGCTCAGGAAATGAACTTACTGTAAGTCGAGTACGAAGTGGGGACAGTAAGAGGTGCCTGGGGTCGCCCTCCATGGTGTCCCACCTCCCGGCTACCCAGAACCAAGAGCTCCTCCAGCCCTTGACGGAGGTGGGCAGCCCAGTTATGAAAGGGGCATAGGACCCCCAGGGTGCCAAGTAGTACCATCCCTTTGTCTCGTCCCCCCAGTCACACACTACTATATGGGACCAAGAGTTTGGGTTGAACTGGGTCGGGGCCAACCCATAGAAACAAAGCACTAACCTAAAGAAAGGATGGAAGGGGAGCCTAAGTCCTGCCTTAAGGAGATTTTCACTCACAGCCACACACTCTGGCATCGGGTAGCAGGCCCTCTAGTGGGGCTCGGGTACGATTAGCTCTATATTGTCGAGATCCTAAAAACGACCATGTACTTTTCCAGCACCTCCATAGTAATTTTTGAAGGGTAGTTCGAAGCCCCCCTATTGAACTGAAGTATCTACAGGGAAAGTTGGGCGTCTCCAAATGTTCTCCCCGGCCCTAATGATCCTACTCAACTCGTCCGAAGACACTAATGTGGGTTTCATTAAAGAAGAACTCCCCTCACCCCTCCTATCTTCACTCCCAGAAGCGCTAACAGATTGTTCACTCGCCATCCCAGAGATTTTCAAAATTTTGGGGGAATCTAAAGAAAGAGATGAAGAAANAAACTGAAAATGGGGAATATTACCTCAACTTGAGGAAGAATACCCTTTGCTCGCAGGAGGTTTCAGAGATCTCGCTGGAGTTGCTAACGGAGCACGAGAAAATGCAAGGGTTCTTGAGAGCAATATGAAATTTTTGCGAAAGTAAAAGCTTGGAAATGAAGAGAATGGGCATTTTATAGGCATTTTTAATTCTTCCCAACCCTTGGATCATCCAAATCACATCTGGACCGTCCAACGATGAAGCACAGGTATCTCCATTAAAGCTAAGGGTCATTTGAATTAACGGCCCTGATGAAGCGGTGGGCTACAGGCGCGACCCAAACACGTCGCCTTGAGGAACGAACGCCGCCGCCATCATTACCATTTATAGCAAGGAAAGCTTGTCTTGGAAGCAAGTAAACGCCCCCCATGATTACATTGGAAAGACGCAAAAGCCTTTAAATCATTAACACAAAATCCAAGACTACCCCTCCAGAGCCTATCACTCCGTTCGCCTATCACTTCAGCCACAACAGCTTCGCGTTGCAACAGCTCTCCACAGAGTTTCCAACTCATATCACTTCGGCCAGAGCAGGTCCTATGTTACAACAACTCCCCATAGAGTTGCCAACTCATATTGCTTCGGTCACTATAATTTCGTATTGCAACAGCTCTCCATAGAGTTGCCAACCAATATCATTTCGGCCAGAGCAGGATTCGATGTTGCAACAACCCCTAGAGTTTCCAACTCCTATCGCTTTGGCCACAACAACTTCGTGTTGCAACAGCTCTCCACGGAGTTGCCAACCCATATCATTTTGGCCAAAGCAGAATCCAATGTTGCAACAACTCTCCCTAGAGCTGCCAACTCCTATCATTTGGCCACAACAGCTTCGCGTTGCAACAACACTCCACAGAGTTGCCAACCCATATCACTTCGGCCAGAGCAGAATCCAATGTTGCAACAACTCTCCCTAGAGTTGCCAATTTCTATCGCTTCGGCTACAACAGCTTCGTGTTGCAAAGCTCTCCATAGAGTTGCCAACCTATATCACTTCGACCAGAGCAGGATCCGATGTTGCAACAATCCCTAAAGTTGCCAACTCCTATCGCTTCGTTCACAATAGCTTCGCGTTGCAACAACTTTCTACAGAGTTGCCAACCCATATCACTTCGGCCAGATAGGGCCCAATGTCAAGCCAACTCCCTGCAGAATTCCTAACTGAACCTCCGGAACTGAAAGTCCTTGTACTATATAAATA